ACCCACCCTTGCTGCTGGAGCTGAAGGATAAACTCAAGTATGCCAGAGTCTTTTTAGAATACTAATTGAGTCTTTTTTTTTTTTTTTTTAATAAACTCAAGCTTCCTGAAAGCTCTGTAAAGCAGGGATTGCATATACTTAGTTTGCCTGACATGGAGTAGGTATGCATTGAGCATTTGTTTTTGAAATGAAATTCCAGTTGACCTCTTGTAATTGTTATATCATATATAACACTGCTTACCTGGCTAGATTTGTTTTGCAGTCATCAGTCCTTGCCAAGCTTCAGTGGAGTGAAAGAAGCAAATGAGTGCTTTTAAGATAATGGCAGCCTACCCCTTTATAGCAAATGTTAGGGTTACAACTAATCAAAGGCCAATCTTGTTGTTCAGTTTCCATTGACAATTAAGGTGCCTGTGGGCTGAATAAAACAAATGTTGAAAGATAGAGTCTAAGGTAGAGAATGTACTTTGATAGAGTGATATCTTGCTGGGGAATAAAATCACACTAGAAAGAAAGATTTAGTCACATTGAGCCAAGAAATTCAGTGACATTCCTGAGTTTTGAAGAGCTGAGGGTCATTAACTCTATCTGAGCCAAATTTCAGTTTTCCTTATGACTGTGGATCTCATAGCTATATTCAAAAACTCAGACAAACCAGCACATTGGGGACCATCCTTTGTGACCCCTGCCACCACCATCTGAATCCCAAGAGTTAACTAGTAACTGAAGGGTGTAGTCCAGAGGGGCTGGATCTATAGAAACACAGCCTTTGGATCTAGTCTATAACCTAGCACTCATGAAAGATGCAGCTCTTAACAGAGTAGGTGTGGCTTTGATCTCCAAACCAGACTCATCAAATCTAGAGTAGGGAAGGTGGACATGTGCAGAGGCAGGGTAGAGTAGTCTCCCACCAAGAAAACTCCCCTTTAATGCCCCCCAAAAGGGTGACCCCCCAAGGTGTTGAGTACATCAGCATCAATGAACTTTTTACTGAGGCTTCCATGGGTTTCCATACATCACACGGGGCAGTACTACCTAGTTCCTTACTATGGTTGGGTGTGTGGCTGACTCCTTAAGAATAATCCTTGGCCTAAAGTTCCCATCTTTATCTTGACATGAACTTAGCATGGATGAGGTGTGCTGGAAGCTATATATTTTTAAAATGAAGTTTACATTCACAGATTTAAGATTGTACAATATTAGATATACAATTTGAGGATACAATTTGAGTTTTGACAAAAGCATACACTTTGTGTGACCCGTACCCCAATTAAGATATAGTTCATTTCTTTCACTACAGAATATTCCCTTCTGAGTTCACTCCCTTTCATCTCTGAGTGGAGACTATTCTGCTTTTCACTATGTGTGTTAGATTTAAGGCCATGAGTTAAAACATGGAGATTTTCATTAAGTCTGGATGATGAGAGATGTCAGAAGTTAATATTTATTCAAGTAAACCAGTGGTTCTTAATGTGGGGGTGTCTCCCCAGGAGGCATTTGGCAATGTCTAGAGACATTTTTGACTGTTGTGACTTGGAGGGGTACCACTGGCATCCAATGGGCAGAGACCAGGGATGTGGCCAGACCTACAGCGCATAGGACAGCCCCACAACAAAGAATGATCTAGCCCAAATGTTAATAGTGCTGAGGTTGAAAAAGCCTGAGTAAATTATGTGCTCTCTATGGAGAGAGCATCTGTAGATCTCCCAAGTCTTCCAGTTGAGGTTTGCTTTTCCTCTTTTTTTTTTAATCTGTCAAGAGCCTGTTAAAGCTAAGAGGGACTCTACAGGGGTTGATTTCTTCCATGCTACCACTCTGTGGTTACACTTCTTGATGTGGGATGGGAGTTGGGCATCTTGGGAGGAAAACTAATAGGAGAAAAGAAAGAAGAAAACAACTTAGGCAGTAATGGGGGGGGCAGATTTAGAATAATATTAAATCTAGAAAAATGAGTAAGATAAGGGGGAAAATACAGTAGAAATTAATAGTTAAAAATTTAATGTTAAAAATGTAAATGAAGCCAATTGTGGTGGCACACACCTGTTATCTTAGCAACTAGGGAGGCTGAGGCAGGAGGATCACAGGTTTAAGGCCAGCTATGTCAGCTTAGTGAAATCCTGTCTCAAAAAAAGGCAAATGAGTTGAGCTTTAAAATCAAAGAAAGATGTGAGTGAGAATGTTCATTAAGAACTTAAAAGTTAGCTGGGCGCTGTGGTGCATGCCTGTAATCCCAGCACCTTGGACACTGAGTCAAGAGAACTTTGAGTTCAAAGGCAATCTCAGCAATTTAGCAAGGCCCTAAGCAAATTAGTGAGACCATGTCTCTAAATAAAATATATAATAAAGGCTGGAGGACATGGTTCAGTGGCTAAGTGTCCCTGGGTTCAATCCCTGGTACCAAAAAAGAACATAAAAGTGAGAGTTGGGTGTAGCTCAGTAGTAATGTTTGCCTAGGTTGTACAAGGCCCTGAGTTCTATCCCTGGCACTGAGGGGAAAAAAAGAACATAAAATGGAAAGAGCACTGAAAAGGTAGACCATGAGAAGGCATATATAACATGTGAAAAGTAAGGTTTGAACACAGCAATTGAGAATGAAAAAGGTCAACCTGAGGCAAGATATAAAACAAGGACAAGATGGGACACTGTGGAGCCAAGCTGCCTAGTGATTTGAGGTACAAGTGCTAGATGGGGGAGTAAGGAGGGGTGCAGCAGCTAGAGCAGATAAGGGGAGGGTGGGAAACAAAGTCCTGAGGTGGGGCCAGCTCAACACCATGCAAAGTCCCCAGTTCAAGCAACCAGACACAGAAGGCAGAAAGCAATGGGTTCATGTTTCCAGATACCAGCAGCCTGTGTGCCTTAGAACTCTTGGGTGACTCAAGCCTCTGATGACCTGTCCTCTTTAAAAGAGGCCAGGGGTGGGTAAAGAGCTACATGTTGATTAATCAAAACTGAATTTTTAAAAACCAGACCCTTTTGAAAGTCTTAGCAATTTTCTAGGAGGGGTATTGATTTCCTTAGGTTGGATCAAGTATTGCTGGTCCTGCTGAATAATTGTGATGCACACAAACCACAGTGACCAATATCAGCAGAAGCAAAAGAAATCTGTAGGAACATTGTCTTGAAATTAAGACCTTTGATAGGAACACTTAATACTTCAGGGTATGTTAATTGTTTTTATACCATTTAAGGTAATAACCATTTTTCTTTATGGCTTTCAGCTCTTTTTTTCTGAAATATGAGAATTTATTTTTTTTGTGTACATGACTTTAGGTGTGTGTTTCAAGAGACATTTTGTTATATATTATCTAGCATTGTATATTTTGTATTATAGGATAGTCTCATCTTTCACATTGCAGGCACTGCAAATCTTAGTAATATAGTTTCTTTTATGCTAAGTCATGCCTAACTAGAAAGAACAAGACAACTACTCTTTTTTTTAACCTCTTTCTGTTTCTCATTGAGGCAGGCAGTGAATAGTTATTGAGTCTCTCTTATGTGCCAGGTACTGCCATAGCAATATTTAAGACACATTCTCATCCTGAAAGTGATTCCAGTATGGTAGGGAGAATTTAATAGACGTAAGTAAATGGGTAAATAAAAAATAAAATAAAAACATGCATTCTCCCTGCTCTTAGGCAATTCTACCGAAAGACAAAGCAGGTAGAGGAATTTTTAGAGGAATCAGCATGTGTGAACCCATGAAGCTGGAAAGCAGCATGAGAGAAATATAGGGAGTTCAGGTTTTGTGGGCATCTAACAGATGAGGTTAGAGAAGGCGGCTGTGGTCAGTCATAACAGACTTTTTGGTTGATGTACAAGTCCAAGGTAATAAATACCAAAAGATCTTAATTGAAGTTAAGACCTTTCAACATGAACACTTAATACTTCAGAGTGGGTTAATTGTTTTTATACCATTGAAAGTAATAACCATTTTTCTTTTGGCTTTAAGGTCTTTATTGATTATAGAACATAATCAAGGTTGTCATTTAGAAAAATCATTCTTTAAAAAAAAAGAAAAATCATTCTTTCTTGTTTGGTGGTTTTAATCCTTAGAGGGCCAGTGACCAGTTAAGGATGCTGCTAAAATAATCCAGGAAAGAAATGAGGGTCCAAGGAAAGATTGTATAGGAAGGGATACATAGGCAAAAGTAGCACTGAGATTATTTAATAGGCAGAATGGCAGGATTTAGTGATCCATAGGATGAGGGTGATGGTGAAGATGACCTCAGAATTTCCTTTTTAAATTGTTGATCAATTAATTATAAATGGGCAAATAAAAATCATTTATTGTGTACTAAATATGATGTTTTGCAATATGTGTACATTATGGAATGGCTAAATCAAGGTAATTAACATGTTGCTTTATATATTTACCTTTTTTATGAAATCTGAAAATGTTGAACTAATAGAAGCAGATATTAGAAAAGTCTGCTGGGGCTGGGAGGGTTGGGGGAGGGCATTGAAGAGATGTTGGTCAAATAATAAGAAATTTCTGTTAGAAAAAGGAAGAATAAGTTTGAGAGCTATATTGTACAACATAGTGTCTATTGACTAACATAGTTAATAACAATGTATTACATTTTTGAAAATTGCTAACTTCAGAGTTTCTGATGAGGTTGTCACAATTCCTGAGAGAGGAAATGGAGAAAGAAGGGCAGGTCTTAGGGAAAGATGATGAGTTGGTTCTGAACATGTTCCAAAGATTCAATATCTATTTATCTAGCTATAGTTTTAAAATTTTTTACTGGAAAGCCTAGGTAGAGAAACTTAAAAACTATTGTCTTGTGAAAATCAAGATAAAGTTGAGCTGAAATTTTATGTCTGTGAAAAAATGTATTTTAGGTTCTGACTTCCTTAGAACTTCAGGAATACATTTACTTCTCATGGAGTGCTTGTATGTGTCTTTCAGGGCAGGAGTGACTGAGCTTATGAATATGTCATGTTGTACATATTTGGTTTGTAGCATGGATAGAAGGCTGAAAATTGCTTCTGCATTTCAGGTAATTCAGAGGTCCGTGGGGCCAGCCAGCCTGAGCCTGCTCACCTTCAGAGTCTATGCAGCACCAAAAAAGGATGCGCCTCACAAAAATTCCATGAAAGTTGATGAGGTAACATGCTGTTCATGCAGTGATATATTTTGGACATTTGACTTAGTTACTGTAGAAGAGATTTTACAAATTGTATATCAGGAGGATAGTTAGAAGATAATTATTTTAATTTTTTATTTTTGCAGTGCTGTGGCCTTGTGCATTCTAGGTAAGCACTCTACCACTAAGCTATACCCCAGCACAGTTAGAAGATATTTAAAAGGATTATTTGTGTTTTTCATTTGGTGTTAAGTTTTTTGAGCTCTTTGTATATTCTGGATATTAATGCCCTGATTAGCAGTGGCAAAGATTTTCTCCCATCTGTAAATGGGCAAAGGAACTAAACAGAAACTTCTCAAAAGGAGAAATACAAAGGGTCAACAGATATATTAAAAAAAAAAAAAATCTTCAACGTCTCCAGCAATTAAATGCAGATTAAAACTAAATGAGATTTCATTTCCAATCAGAAAGGCAATTATCAATAATACAAGTAACAATGTTAGCAAGGATGTGAGGAGGAGGGTACACTCATACATTGTTGGTGGCACTACAAATTAATATAACCTCTATGGAAAGCAGTATGGAGATTCCTCAAAAATCTAAAAATGGAACCACCATAGGACCTAGCTATCCCACTCCTTGGTATATATCCAGAGGATTTTAAATCAGCATACTAGGCTAGGGCTGTAGCTCAGTGGCAGAATACTTGCCTAGCAAGTGTGAGGCACTGGCTTCTCAACAGTATATAAAAATAAAGTAAAAGTATTCTGTCCATCTGCAAAAAAAATTAAAAATAAAATCAGTTTACTACAGTGATGCAGCCACATCAATGTTTATAGCAGCACAATTCACAATAGTTAAGCTGTGGAACCAACCTAGGTGCCCTTCAACAGATGAATGGATAAAGAAAATGTGATACACATACACACACACACACCCACACACACCCACACACACACACATACATATGTATAATGAGTATTATTCAGCCATAAAGAAGACTGACTTTATGGCATTTGTTGGTAAATGAATGGAACAGGAGACTATCATGGTAAGTGAAATAAGCCAATCCCCCCAAAATCAAAAGCCAAATATTTTCTCTGATATGTGGAAGCTAATCCTAATTAAGGGTGGGGAGGAATGTAAAAAAAAGAATAGAAGAAAGATCAGAGGAGTAAACAAAGGGCAATGAAAGGAAGGGAGGAGAGATGCGATAGAGAAAGTCAGTGGAATGAATTTTCCTATGTACATACATAAATATACCACAGTGAATCTCATCATCACATACATCCATAAGATACTAATTAAAAAAAATAAGTAAATAGCAGGAGGATCAATAAAGTAGAGAGAAGGCAACAGGGGGTGGAAGGAAGGGAGGGGAAGGGGAAATACTGGGGACTGGCCTGCCATGGTGGCACATGCCTGTAATCCCAGAGTTCCCAGAGTTCAAACCAGCACAATTCACAATAGTTAAGCTGTGGAACCAACTGAGTTGCTTAGCACCTCACCTCAGCAATGGTGAGGTGCTAAGCAACTCAGTGAGACCCTGTCTTTAAATAAAATACGAAATTGGGCTGGGAATGTGGCTCAGTGATCCAATGCCCCTGAGTTCAATCCCCAGTACCAAAGAAAGAAAGAAAGAAATACTGGGGACTGAATTAGAAGAAATTATATTCCATGCTTTTATAATTATGCCATAGTATATATTTCTATTATCATATATAACTAAAAAGAAATATATTTCCTTACAGTTTGTTTTCTTTGTGGGAAATTAGTAAACTGCGGCTTTTTCAACAGATGAACTTTAATGGTGGTATTGAACTTTAACAGATGAACTAAGGGTAAAATTAAGAAATATTTTATAGATTTTTTAATGGGGAACCTGCCATGTCCCAGTAGATTATAAATACAGCTTAGCTTTTTTTTTTTTGGTACTAGGGATTGAATTTAGCCCAGAGCCACATCCCTAGTTCTTTTATTTTTCATTTTAAGGCAAGGTCTCACTAAGTTGCTTAGGGCCTTGCCAAATTGATCAGTCTGACCTTGAATTTACAATCCTCCTGCCTGAGCCTCTGGAGCCACTGGAGTACTGGCATGTACCACCATGCCCAACTGCAACTCACTTTTCTAAGCAGCCTTCCTGATTCTGGACTGCTTGATCAAGCCAAGAAAACATTCACATTTTTCTTAAAGAAATCAGAGATCTGATTCTCTCTGCTTCTTGGCTGGTAAAAATCCTAAGTAGATACTTAGTATACATTAAATAATCAAACAAGAAATCTTTACATTGTTTAGATTCTTTTTTTTGTCTGTACTTCCCACTGATTATTTGGATATTCAGTTTCTGTTTCCTTTGAATAATTTGAGGTACAGTTTTACCTTTAGTCCCTTGTAGGGTTACTTGAAAGGTGTTTATATAAAGCTAATTAGCTTATCTTTTGCCCTTTACTCTTTTCTCAGGCTTTGGGACAATAGCATTGTTGAGAGTGAAGAGGGCAGCCAGTAGTGTCTAAGAAAATTCTTCTCTGGGTGGGGAACAAACCTGCTCTCCTTTGATTAGCACCAGACTGATCATTTGAACTATGTATTCAGTTATTCTTCAGTTACTCTCAAGCATTTTTAACCCCCCCCCCCAACCCATTCTTTTTTTATAATTTATTTTTTAGTTGTAGATAGACACAATATCTTTACTTCTTTATTTTTAAATATTTTTTTAGTCGTTGATAAACCTTTATTTTATTTGCTTATTTATATGTGGTGCTGGAAATCGAACGCAGTGCCTCACACGTATGTGGCAAGCACTCTACCGCTGAGCTATACCCTAACCCCTCAACCTACTCTTTAGAGCGATAGACTCCTTTTTCTAAACTAAACCTGGGGTGAAATACCAGATACCAGTGTAAATGGATGAAAGAAAGGTGCTTTGTTTTCCATCAGTGGATGAGGAGGGATATGATACCATGTAGCTCTGCCCTCTTATCCTTATCCTTATTTTTTTAGTTGTAGATGGACATAATGCCTTTATTTTATTTATTTATTTTTATGTAGTGCTGAGGATCAAACACAGTGCCTCACACATACTAAGCAAGTGCTCTACCACTGAGCTACAACCCAAGCCCCTTGTCATTATCCTTATGATTAAGGAAATAATGTGCAAAGATCATCTGAAGTAAAGTTTTAGGTTGTGTGTAACCCTTAGAGTCATTGTAATTTATAAATTATTAGAAATATTGCACCTACAAATTTGATAATGTATTACATGATCTCATTACTGTGTATGCTTTTTTATTTTTGTTTGAATGTGTGCAGCTTTCACTCTACTCAGCTCCCGAGGGTCAATGTAAATATGTGGAGGAGCCAAGGACTCAACTTGAAGAAAGCATCTCACAGCTCCGACATCATTTTGAGCCGTATACCAGTTGGTGTCAGGTACAGCTGTTAGAGTCAATAATGAAAAGTCTATATAGAGCCAGCATGGTAGCATATACCTGTAATCCTGGTGACTCAGGAGTGCACCTGTAATCCCAGCTCCTTGGGAGGATTGCAGGTTTGAGGCCAGCCCCAGCAATTTAGCAAGGCCTTAAGCAATTTAGCAATTCCCAGTCTCAAAATAAAAAATAAAAAGGGCTGGGACATAGTTCTGTGATAAAGTATCACTGGGTTCAGTCCCCTGGTACCAAAACAACAACAATAACAAAAAGGTAAGAAAAAAAGTCCATGTTGGATACATGATTTTAGAAAAAGGCATAATAAAAGGGTCCAGGTTAAGAGTTCTCTGCTTACAAATGTTCATCAGTGCCACAGGGAGAGCAGGTGCAACAGTGCCCTGGATTCCTTGTGGCACCAGTTGCTGTAGCTGCAGGGAAAATTTTCCTCTCCCTAGGTGGGGTTTGCACCTTGACTAGAGAGAAGAGGGCTGGTAATTGCCTTGTTGGTTGTGGTTATGAAAACATTGTGTTTACTAGAGAGCATATGGGACTGTAATGAAAGTAAACGGATATAATGTAAACATACTAAAACTGGGACATTTTTCTTTCCTAGAGATTCTATAAACTGAGCATCTCTAATCGTGAGGCATTTTGGATATTGGATTTTCAGAGTAGAGATGTTCAACTGGTATAGTTTATGCAAGTATTCCAAAATAAAAAGAAAACTTCTAAAATATAAAATATTTCTAGTCCTAAGCATTTTATATAAGGTATATGACACCTGTGTCACTTTAAACAAATGGTTTTAGTGCATTTAAAATGCTGTAACAGAAAGGTAGATGCCAAAATAGGGTAGAATTACATATTTGAATTGTTTGTCCCAATGAACTACAGGTACAGGTCGGCTTCTGTCTCTAACTTATGTTTTAGGTCAGACATTTGTCATGATGGGAGTGAAAGTATTTCTGTGTTTTTTTAACACCTGAAACCAAAGTTTGCAATTTACAGAATTTGTAGGTATTGATATATGTTTGCCATATTTCATCTTGATTTTGAAAACTGAATAAAAACTAATAAAAAATGAATAAAAACTAATATGTTGGTGTGTATGAAATGTCAGATTTACTTTGCTTGAGATTTACAAGTTCAATTTTTATCCAGGGCTTGTCTTAAAATTTGAAAGTTTCATGTGCCACTGCTGAGTTTTTGTTTACCAAGTGAGATAAAAAAGTACTGCCCATGACCTCTATCAATAATATAATTTGGGCCTTTATACTTAAGTGAGTTATGAAATACCTAAAGACTTTATACGTATTGTGTTGTAAAGTGCTTAGACTTTGTTATCTTGTTCTAGGTTTTTAATCTGTCTGTAAATAGTTTAGATAAAGTCAGCAAGGGGCTGAGGTGTAGCTCAATGATAGAGAGCATGTTTTGCGTGTATAAGGACCTGGATTCAATCCCTAGCACCATAAAATCAAATAAAAAACAAAACAAAATAAAAAAGAAAGAAAAAACATAAGGTCAATAAATTTGTGTAAATATTTTTGTGTCATGTAAGCTTGACTATTGTTATTTCTGGTATGTCTGATTTTGTATTGTTTTTGGTGCTGGGGATTGAACCTAGGGCCTTGTGCATGCTAAGTACATGATTTACCACTGAACTACACCCCCAGCCCAATATATTTTTTTAATGAAAGTATTTTATCTTTTTACCTTTCAACAACCTAACGTTGTTTTTGTCTTTTCCTTTTCCTTTTATGCATGATATTCAGTGCAGTAAAACACCTCTCTGGATGATAAAGTAGTTATCAGCATATCTGTTTGCACTACTTCTAAATGATTTTCTTCTAATTATAATGGTTTTATTTTCCTGGGTGGAATGAAGTTTTCATGAATGGAAATATTTCTAATTCCTGGTTCCTTTTTCAGACCACCAATTTCTAGTCCTTCCTTGAAGATCTAATTTGTTTTAATAGTAAAATATTTTTTTTACCTTTATTTTATTTGTTTTTAACTTTTTTTAATGTGGTGCTGGGGATTGAACCCAGTGCCTCACGCATGCTAGGCAAGCACTCTACCATTGAGCTACAACCCCAGCCCCAATAGTAAAATATTAATCTAGCAAAAGAAGTGGACTGTCACTCTGTATTTCAACCTGTAGGTTTTCTTTCTCTTTAATGGGTGGAAGAGAAACCTATAATGGATTTTACTGAAGAAATATTCATTTCTTTCTGTCTTCCCCCAAATTCAGCATTTATTATTTAAGGCCATTTAAAATAATGAGAGTAACTTTTTCTGGCTTGAACTGAATTATCTAAAACAAATCCTTTTTTTAAATGACAGTTCTGATCTTCTAATACCCTAATGTCTCCTTTTCCATCTTTGCTGTAGACGTCTTGAAGGTGGATATCTTCTAGCTAGTCCCTGGTTTCCTTTAGGATCATCTGATGTTCATATACAAAGCTTTTCTTTTTTCTTTTTTGAGATGGAATCTCAATGTTGCCCAAGCTCCTCTCAAACTTCTGGACTTAAGGATCCTCCCACCTCAGCCTCAGGGAGTGCTAGAATTACAGGCCTGTTCCACTGCCTGGCTACAAAGCTTTTTTTTATTGTTATTAAAAGAATGTTGTTACTTCATTTGCTTCAGAATTTTGGGGTATCTCTCCAAACTGAGTCATTTGATCCTTTGTCTCATTGAAGCTGGTCATTTTCTGCTTCAAATGGGTACTTTCCAGATGTAAGCTATAAAATAATGGCAAAACCAGGAAATAGACAATATGAAACACAAATTTAATTTCATAGGAAAAGGATTGCCTCTAAATTATCAAGGGGATTGATCTTTAGTCTATTTTCTTCCATTTTAGGAGAAGAGTAAGAATGCTGGGTTGTTAAAAGCACTGTAGTTGGAATCTTTGCCCCTGTGGCAATAGGAAACCATTCTGCTAAGCAGTTTGCAGTGAAGGGAAAATTACAAAACAAAAAAAAAAGAACTCAGAAAGTATCTCTTTATTCAAAATCTGTTAATAGCTAGGAGTGTAGCTCAGTGGTAGAGCATGTTCTTAGCTCTCCCAGGGCCTTGGATTCAGTTCCCAGCATCAAAAACAAAAATGTTCAGTAAAGTATATATATGTTGTTACTTTATAATCAGCAAATTGTACTCATTCTGTTCCTTTTTACTTTTTTAGGAAACATACTCCAAAACTAAGCCCAAGATGCAAAGTTTGGTTCAATGGGGGCTAGGTAAGTCATTTTGTTATTAGGCATAATCAGTTACTTCAATAATATTGAACTGTTTAACTGGAGTTCTATGAATGGAATCTAGAGATATATGGATTTGTTTAAATCTTACACAGAATTTTAGAACTGTGTGAATTTTTCTAGAAAGAAAATTTGTTCTTTTCATCCAGATTTCAGGGGGCTCATATCTCCTAAGTTTCTTCAACATTATTAAGATTATAGGGTTAGCAAGTGCAGATACACTGTGTTTTTAATAAAATGGATTTCCAGGTACAATGTAGTACAGCACACTAACTCATCAGTAGATTCCTAGAATCAAAGTAGTTAACTTACATTGCTATTATTACATGCTATAGAAGTTTAGAGGCAGGAAGGAACTGAGCTGCTGTGCCTGGGAAAGGTCTTATTGCATAATTAGTAGTGTTCCTACATTTTTTTCATTGTCCTTGATTGTTTCTCATATATAGGCCACTTATCACCTACCTGTACTCATAAACTGAGCTCTGTCTACATTCTGACTAATGTCAGGAACTGGTAAAACAGAGACTGATCATATTTCATTCCCCTCATTGTGCATCTTGGTGAATCAAAATCTTGTTTTTAAAAGGATGTGTTTTCATGATAACAAAAAAAAAATGGCACTGAAGAAGCCTTTTCATTCATTATTTGCAGTATTTGTTTTGTTTTTTCTTTTCCTGGACTCAGTTACTGCAAAAACTCTAAAGCAGAAACATTCCATTATGAGTTATTATCTGCCAAAGCTCTCAGACCATTTTCCAGAAGCTATAGTGAAGGCATGTTACCAGAAGCTGGGCTCTGGCTTCAAGAGCAATCTGAAAACATCATTTTCCCTATTTCTTTGTAATTTACCTACTTCTGCTCAGCTCACGAAAAGCCATCTGGGTCTCCTCCTGTCAACTGTTCTTATGTGTATGTCTAGAATTAAACAACACTATGCTGGTAGGCAAAAATAAAGGAAAGTAGAAAATTGCCTCAGAAAACCAAGTTGAGAGGATAGAAAGTCAAGACTAGATTGAAGACAAAAGAAGTAAAAATTTTAACCAGGTGGAAGTTAATGCAAATGTATAACACAAGCTCTGTAATAGTGTTTAAAATGATTATCACATCTCCCAAAGAATCATGAAAGGAAAATTTTAAGTATCTGGTGTTTTCTGGGGGAGAGATTTACTCAGCATTCTAGCTTATTGGTTCAGTTCAGCATATGTTTGTCAAGTCACATCATGCCAGTCATTGAAGATCAACGTTGATTAAGAAAGTGGTCACAACCAATAAGATACATGTAATAAATTATTCAATACTAATGCAAATACAGAAATAATTACAGACCACTATTGAAGGTACAGAGGAAGGAGACTAGTTGAATAGTGATTGGGGAGTTGGGAGCAGTGAGGGGAAGGATTTTTAAGATGAATCTTCAAGGACCAGTGTTAGCCACACCAACACGTGGGTGTTGCAGACACAGTGTGATCAAGACTTGGAGGTGGGACTATAAGGAGATAGAGAGTGCTGAAGATGAGGCTGTGAGACATACAGGAGGGCTTTGTAAGTCATGACCTAGCTGAAATTCATTTGTTTAATTCATCCAGTATTTCTCATCTCCTGTCAGTGTTCTTAATAAATGTTTGTGGAATGACTATCCGCTGTTAACACTGAGGGAAGATAACATGTAACAAGTATCACAAATCCACCATTTAGGAGCTTATATTCTCCAACTCTATAGCACACTGCACTTAACTATTCAGATGTGTGTTTCCTGGGACATCTGAATAGTGCTATGTGTGCTATAGAGTTAGGTACCAAGTGATGGTATAGAGAATAAATATGTGATTCCCAATGAAGACAAAAGGTCTGGGCTGATGAACTTAGAAAACACTTTTCTGAGGTGATAGGGCCCAAGCTAGGTCTTATCTGGGTGAGACTGGCTCATTGAAGGGGAGAGGAGAGGATGCATTATGTGAATGGAGTCACAAGGCATGGTGAATAGGCTTATGTGTTATGTTTATTTTTATTTATTCTGTCACCACCAACAGTTGGCTATTCCCCACAAGTTTCCTTCATTATCCAAATTTATTGTTCTTGAGTTCAAATAATGAGTTCAGATGGCAAAGGATACTTATTTTTCCTAGGCTTATATATTTGGTTCCTGAAAGAATATAAAAGAAGTTTATTAGCAGCATACAAACAATATGTGGTTTGAAAAGCTTTTGATACTGTATGTACTACTTGTATGTAAGACTTTGGTTTTTAATGAGTAATTTATGATTTTTTTTTCCAATCTGATTTTATTATAGATAGCTATGAATATCTCCAAAATGCACCTCCTGGATTTTTTCCAAGACTTGGTGTTATTGGTTTTGCTGGCCTTGTTGGACTCCTTTTCACTAGAGGTGGGTGCAATTTTGTGGGTTTTTTTTTTTTTTTTGAACAGTCAGTTCTTGTGGGAAAGATAGGGTATGTTTGGTTCTTTACTTTCAATGAACAGTTTTCAGAATAATGAGTTGGTTCCTGAACATTGACTTCTTAATATGTAATTAATATAGTCGTTTACTCCATTCTGTTTAAGCAAATATAAATTTTGTTCTCTTTGTAGAAAAGAAATTAGTTTTTTCTTATAAGTACATTTACTGTTCAACTCTTTACTGCTCTTAGGTACAGAGTGAATTATTATTATTATTATTATTATTATTATTATTTTTTTTTTTGGCATTGGGGATTGAACTCAGGGTACTTGACCACTGAGCTACATCCCCAGCCCTATTTTATATTTTATTTAGAGACAGGGTCTCACTGAGCTGTTCAGTGCCTCGCTTTTTGCTGAGGCTGGCTTTGATGTCGGGATCCTTCTGCTTCAGTCCCTGGAGTTTCTAGGATTATAGGCGTGCGCCACCATGCCTGGCTAGAGTGAATTTTTGTTCAGTCTTTCATACCTGAGAAATAAACTGTTTCTAAATGTTTCATTGTTATTGTCAGGCTATTAATCACAGTAAATAGAGCACTAACTTAATAGAGAACTTATTAACTTTTTGATGTGTCATGGCTTCAGTCAGTAATGATGTAAAAAATTTTAAAATGCTTAAAATTAAAGCTGGGTTTAGTGGCCTGTAATCCCAGCTACTCCGGAGGCTGAGGCAGGAGGATCAGAAGTTGAAGGCCAGCACTGGCAACTTAGCAGGACCCCATCTCAATAAAAAAAAGCTAACAAATGTCAACTTAAATATATTATGTAGGTACTGAAGGCATTGCTCAGTGATATAGCACTTGCCTAGCATATATGAGGCCCTAGGTCAATCTCCAGCACCACCAACCCCAAAATAACACTGCACTCACTGTTAGATTACAGAACATTTATAAAAAATAAAGGATGATAAAAGACTTTACTACAATGAGTTTAAGTTTTTGTGAAATTCTTGAAGTTTTGCTGACTCTAAAATGAATGCTTATGGTATAAAATTCAGTTAAAGAATTCTTTTTCTTTTTTAATATTTTTTTAGTTGTAAATGGACCTTTATTTATTCATATGTGGTACTGAGAATCGAACCCAGTGCCTCACACATACTAGGCAAGCACTCTACCACTGAACCACAACCCCAGCTCCAGTTACAGGAATTCTTTTTTTAAAAAAAATATTTATTTATTAGTTTTGGATGGACGCAATATCTTTATTTTACATTTATGTGGTACTGAGGGTCGAACCCAGTGCCTTGCACGCGCAAGGCAAGCGCTCTACAACTGAGCTTCAAACCTAAATTCTTAAAGAGAAATTCCTATAAAGAACCCTGTAATCTGACCCCCCTAAAACAGAACCATAGTTTGATACCTATTTCACCAGTTTTAGAACTCTTTCTTCTTGATGCATTAAGTGTTATTTTAGAATCTGGAGCGTAAATGCAGCCCTAGTGCTACTCCCAATTCACCTGCTGAATGAACGGTGTCTTGGTCTCCTTGCCTTTCTCTCATCTTGTACTAAGCAATGAGAATTAAATTTCCATTTCTTTTTTTTTTAGTAACCAATTTGCAAAGCAACACTATTTTTCATATATCTTTCCCCTTATTTCCTGCAAAGCTGTTCAGAAAAGGATTCCATTGTCATTTAAATAGTGCTTGGGATTTATAAACATCCAAAGGCCAGGGGTATTGGAATTGTGGCTATGACTAGAATGTGGAATCCAGTGAGATAAGCTTCTACTGCCCTCTCTGTTGTTTGAGCATGTGGGGGAGTCTTGCAAGCCCAAAGAAAGCTTTCAGTGCTATGGGTAACTTCCTGTCCTATCAGGTGTTTGTCCGCCATCCTCTAGGGTTTCCGTCCTGAGGAGGGTTGGAGACTGCACTCTCCTGGGCAGAGTGTACCTGCTACCATGGGTCCTATCCCTTTGTGTTTGTTTGCTTATTTGTTCCTAGCTTTTTTTCCCCTTCCTGGGAGGGCCTGGTAGCATTAAAATAATTTGAAACTTTCATTCTTTTTTTAAAAAAAAATGTCCACATAGGCACATGCATGTGTGCATGTACACATTCATGCACTCACAGGTGATAGTAAATTTTTTTTCATGGCCATTTAGAAGGGCCTGAGGTGAAAAGCATCAGAGGGGTTCACTGAGCAAGATAAATGGGATGGTAGACTCATTTATGGGTGACAAGTGTGGTTTTCAGGCCCCTCCAGGGAGATAATCCCCTATGCAGCAGCAGGATGGGCTCAGAAGTCCCTCCTGGTAGGGTTTCTTGAGCACACCTGCTAAGTAGTGTGCCTAAGTTAATGAGGAGGCCTGCGACTATAATGGTGACACAGTGCTCCCAGAGTGAGAGCTGTGCCTTCTGGTGGCTCTTCCCCTCACTGACAGCCAGTGAGTGATTGTCCTTTCGCAACGCTGATACTCACTGCCTACACCACTGGCTTTTTGGGAGGGGTGAGCATGAAGGTGGGCATGCGGGCATGCAGTCATACCTCCTTCCTAAGGTGTGTGTGGACCTTCCAGCTCATTGTGTAGACCAGCAGGGCCCAAAAACCCAAGAGCTGCTACTTATCAGCTTTCCCTAGAGAAGTGAAAAATGAGTGTCATTAGTTTTGCTGGTCTCTTCAGCTGGTCCCCACCTGCTTGGGCATAAAGCTTCAAGTGGACAGGGAAGACCTGAGGAATAACAGATTTTTCTGTTCCAGGATAATTATATCCTTTTAACCCAGGCAATAGGACTTGGAGAGAAACATTTTTTTTAATATATTTTTTTAGTTGTAGATGAACACAATACTTTTATTTTGTTTATTTATTTATTTATATGTGGTGTTGAGGATCGAACCTAGTGCCTCACACGTGTGAGGCAAGCGCTCTACCACTGAACCACAACCCCAGCCCCGAAACATTAACTTATTAATAGTCTAGTCGATAATACTCATATTCTCAATAGCCCCAGTTTTATCTTTGAATATTTATCTGTTTAAAGTTTAAAACCAGGGGCTTGGAGTGTAGCTCAGTGGTAGAGTGCTTGCCTAGCATGCCTGAGGCCCTGGGTTGAAAACCCAGCCCCACAAATTTTTTTTTTAAGAAAAATAAAGTATAAAATTAATAAGCAGCACTTGCATTGGTAGAATTGTATATTATTAATACACATTGCCCTAACGTGTATCCATCAAAAACACCATCCATGCCTCTCAGTGGAGACTACTTTTTTTTTATTTTTTCATACACACACACACACAGTTGTAGATGGACAAAATACATTTATTTTGTTTGCTCATTTTTATGTGGTGCTGAGGATTGAATACAGTGCTTCACACATGCTAGTCAAGCGCTCCGCTACTGAGCTACAACCACAGCCCTCAGTGACTATTTCTAATGTTAAGTCCACCTGCATTCTCCTTTTTCACCCTCTGCCACTTTTTGTTTTTACCTCATTCTCAGGTTTCTCCAAATTCAGCATCCTGTTGTTTATCAATTCCTCTTTTCTCCATAGCTCTTCATCCTCTGCAGCCTGACCTCAGACTTCAACACAGCTGTTGTTTTAGGACTTCCTTTATGCTCTCTTGGGCTTGAGCCCCCTGTTCTTATCTTCTGGGTTATCTTCTCCTTGGTTTATTTTGCCATGTTGTTCAACCATATGCTTAAATTTCTTTTAAAAAAGAGTCTCTTTAAAAATATATGGGAGACAAACTTTCCAAGACCTTGCATGTCTGCCCTTATACCAAGTGATAGTTTAGATAGTGATATCATTTGTTTTCCACTAAAACTTTGAAAACTGGGTCTTGTAGCATCTGGCATATAGATGGGAGAGTCAATAGCCAGACCTGTTCCTTCTGAAGTCATTCTTTGTTTTCCCTCCTCGAACTTTTAAGGATCTTTTTAAATCTTTTGTTTTCTGAATTTCTATGGTGCTGTGACTATATAGACGTTTTCTTTCCTTGATTGGACATTGGGTGGCTCCCAGCCTTCAGCTAAAGGATGATATCTATATGGCACATCTTTGAAAATTTGCTGCACTTCTATTAATTAGCAGTTGAGTTGTTTAAAAATGACCCTATATATCTTATATTTTCTTGATTGTTTTGTTTCATTCCTTTTAGATTTTTTTTTACTTTGTTCCTTTCCTTGAACTCTTTCTTATTCCCTGAATGTTCCTTTTTTCATAGAATTCTTTTTTCTCTTAATGTAGTTGCTTCTTGAATTTATTTGATGATACTTAATAACAGGTCTAGTTTTGTTTTGAAGTTCTGTTTCCCGTGGGGTTTTTTCCCTTGCTTGTCTTAGGTTCTAGGCTTTCCTCCAACAACTGGTGATCCTTGGTTGTCAGGTCAGGTTTCAGAATGGGGCAATTGAAATGCTAGTAAGCATGCTTTTGTGTTAGATGGGGCTTGCTGACAGACACTTCTGCCTCAGGGTGAGCTGGACTGGACTCAGGATCAGTTTTAGAAGGGCTTTACTCTCAAGCACTAACTGTGTGCACACACACACAACTATCTTGGTTGTTAGTAGAAAACCCCTGGCATTTCTTTAGTAATACCCTGCTGCGCTTTAAAAATTTGGCCTGGCTTGAATTCCTGGCCATGGGCAGTTTTGCACTGGGATCGCATAGGGAAAGGAAGGGATCAATTTGTCCATGTATGACTTGCACTTGTCCCCTGTCTTGATTCCTGGGTGTCACTTCCACTCTCCATAGTACATGCCATCTCTGCCTGGGACAGGTCTGCTCCCTCTTTAGCTATAACCCTTCTTCAAGACTTTAAGGCTACTTCTCTTCACTTTTCAGTTTCTGAAAATTGGTTAACACTTTTTTCTTTTGCAGTGCTGGGGATGGAACCTGGGCCTTTGCCTGTGATAGGCAAGTGCTGTACCATTGATCTATACCCCCAGTTGATTCTTCTTATCTGCCAGTGGCCTCTCCACACATTTTTCTTCATGGTGGATTTTTAAATTTGTATTTTATTCTTTTACTGTTATTTTAATGAAGTCTCAGGAAGAAGAGGAAGGGAACAATTGTGTTTATTATTTAAATAGGAAGCCAGTTTGCTGTTAGAAAAACATAAACCTTAGAAACCAGAATTCTGATTTGTTTGTTTGATTTCAAAATAATGTTTTTCTGCTTCCTTAGAAATGGTGGTTCTCTTGAAAACATTTGCTGAGTGGTAGAAGCCAATGACAAAGGAACATATGATTCCATTTATATGAAATATTCAGAGTAGGCAAATCCATAGATACAGAAAGTAGATTATTGGTGGCCTAGGGCTGGCAGGGGGGAAGGGGAATTGGGAAGTGACTGCCAATGGATATTGGTGGGTTTCTCTTTCTCTTTCTTTCTCTCTCCCCCCACCCCTCACCCTTACCTTCTACCTTCCCTTTTTCTCCCTCTCTCCTCTTTCTTTTCTCCTTCTTTCTTTGCCTTCCATTTCTCCCTCCCTCCTTTCCTTTCTCCTTCCTTCCCTTTTTCTGGAACCCAGGGTCTCCCACATGCCCAGCACATGCTGTACCACTGAGCTACACCCCCAGCCCAAAGGTATGAGTTTCTTTTGAGGATAATAAAATTGTTTTTGATGATGATTATGCAACTCTTTGAACATACTAAAAGCCATTAAATTTTGAACTTTAAATGGGTGAATTTTGTGAATTATATTCTAATAAAGCTGTGGGAAAGGCATGTAAATACTGTTACTAAATGCATTCTCTCAATTTAAGGTCAAAGCAATCTTGTTCAGTATTAAATGTATAAGGTAAATTGTAATGGTGAGACAGATAATGAATCATCTGATGGTGTGTACAACCTTTTGTTTATTAGGTTCAAAAATAAAGAAGCTTGTGTATCCACCTGCTTTCATGGGATTAGCTGCCTCTATCTATTACCCACAACAAGCCATTGCATTTGCTCAGGTGAGATAGACCCAGTAAGTTAGGATGTCCTTCATTCTTGTGTGTGATATATGGATTTGCTGCTTAATTTTATTTTATTTTGTAGTTACAAAAACACCAGATTAAAATTTGGCTGAACGTATAGATGAACTACAACAAATTGAAATGTTTTTCTCCATTGTGTGCCTCAGCACTGGCTCTCCATTTATGATGCCAGTATTCAAATAATGCATGCTAATTTAAACATTAAGCCAAGAAAATGTAAGGCAATATTTCTGTATACTTACACAGAAGTCTAAAGACCCATTCTAAATTGATAATTATGGGTCACTCGGTTCAGATGTGTCTGGTCATAACCTCTCTTCAATAGACTTGCAGGCACAGGCTGTGCTTTGGCCTCCATATCTCCCTAGTGCCAGCCTCAATTTTCTCACTGGGGACTTGAGGGCATGTGGTCCCTTCTGCTGTTGCTCCTTTCTTGCCCTTCACACCTCAGCTTGATTGTATCCTGGAAGGAGGTAGATCACAGTGGTAGACAACATGGGTAAACTAAACCATTCTCCAAGGGTGGTTCCTGGACCAGCAGCATTAGCATCCCCTGGGAATTTGTTAGAGATGGAGATTCTCAGGCCCCACCACATATCAACTGAATCAGACACTCTGAGGACAAAGGCCAGGCTTAGGATTTATTGTTCAGAGAAGGGAATTCTAAACATAGGAGTCCCTAGGAAAACTGGTAAGAGTAAAGCAGGCTGTAGGTTTTTAGGTCCTGAACAGATTATGGAGATAGGGACCCAGTTGCCAGAACTGCCGTATCACAAGGATACTAAGTCCCAGAAGAGGACAATAGTGCAGTCACCAGTATTAGGCTCTGAGCTAGATAGATTGATATGAACTCCCTGGATTCTGCATGACAAATTCCTGGATGGGACTGTAGTTGTAGGTGGGATTCCAGTGGCCCCCAACTGTGAGAAATTGATGGCTTTGGAAGGGCCAGTATGATCTTCCCAGCATAGGTTTGATATTGTTTATAAGGTCCTGGAGGCAGTAGGTAATGTTCTTGCCCCTGCTCCAGTCCCAGCTCAGGAACAGGGAGTGACTTCTGATTGCCTTAGATTTAAAAGAATGATTAAACATCATCTCAGTCTATTATGATTTAAATAGTAAATGGCTGGGTTGGGGAAAGAGGCTGGGCTGCTGATTGAGAAGTAGATATAGCTGCCCCCAGAGTGGAGGTCTTTTTTTTTTGTCTTAATGTGTCACAGCATGTTGCAAAACATCTTTTATGTTTACAACCAAGATAGTAGGATGTAAATCTGAGTTGATTCTTATTGTTTTTAAAGTCAGTGAGAAGTAGTTTTGTCTTTTTTTTTTTGTACCTAAAATGAACCTGAACAAAACAATTAATTTGGGTTGAGAATATACCTCAATTGGTAGAGTGCTTGCCTCACATGCACAAGGCTCTGGGCTCAATCATCAGCACCACAAATAAATAAGTAAAAATAAGTTACAATATACTTTAAAAAATTTTTTTATATTAACTTTATTTTCACTAGATATAAAACTTTATGGGGCTGGGGTTGTGGCTCAGTGGTAGAGCACTTGCCTAGCATGTGTAAGGCACTGGGTTTGATCCTCAGCACCACTTAAAAATAAATAAAATAAAGGTCCATCAACACCTAATAAAAATTTTTAAAAAATTATGGATCTGTTGGAATGATGAAAATATTCTGGAAATGGAGAGTGGTTGTGGTTGTACAACATTGCACATAAACTTACTATCACTGAATTGTACACATAAAAATGGTTACAGTGATCAACTTTGTGTTGTAAATATGTTTGGTCACTTTAAAATTTTTATTTTCTTTTTTAAAGAATTGTGTTATTGGGCTGGGGATGTGGTTCAAGCAGTAGCGCGCTTGCCTGGCATGCGTGGGGCGCTGGGTTCGATCCTCAGCACCACATAAAAATAAAATAAAAATGTTGTGTCCACCGAAAACTAATATTAAAAAATTCTCTTTCTCTCTTTTAAAAAAAATGTGTTTTATATATATATATTGTGTATTTTTTTGCGTGTGTTTGTGGTACTAGCGGTTAAACACAGGGGTGCTTTATTACAGAATCACATCCCCAGCCCTTTTTATTTTTTATTTTGAGACAGGGTCTTGCTATGTTGCTGAGATGTGTGTGCCACCATGCCCAGCATTGCATATATTATCAGAATAAAACAACCAAATGAACATCAGTGATTGAAAGCAATTTTCTGATATTGTTTCAGTGTCATTTAGTTCCTATTTCACAGTTTGTTTTCTTTTTTATGAATACTTGGATCTTGGACAAGCCCCTTAATGGTTTATATTGTATTTTCTGTTCAGTAGCACTTAGATAAGTGCACTATAGGAAAATTCTCAGATTCATGGAGAATGTTATTTTTTTCTCAGAAATGTAAAATACAAGGAATAGCACCACCCATATGTTTAATAAATGTTCAATGCATCTACCAATGGGTCCAAGAATCATATCATATATTTTAAAAACAGTAGGAGCAACTGAAAGAATATGATTTATAAGGAATCTGCATATTGCAAACACACTGAATTTACTTGCATTTGACTTTAGATGATTCACTTGGCCTCTGAGTGTCTCCTTTTGTCTCCTTGGTGTTATACAGGATAGAGATAAGTCATGTGAAAGTGCTTGTAAATCAAGCACTATTATACAAATATTAATTACAAAAATTAGGAAGAGGCTAACATTTTCAGAAATTAGAAGTATGATAGAGAAGAGCAATCAACGTTCATAGGACCAATGAATGCAAATTACTAAAAACATTTTTTTTGAAGGCTCAGTACTTTTAAAAAAAGTTTCCAGCAATTCAAGTCAGCTAGCCAAAGGTAGACAAGTGCATTTTAAGGTCATGAACTCCCTGAGCTTGCCTCTGATATTAGAGGAACAATTCTGGATTTTGTTACTTTCAAAAGCTCTGTACAAATCCAAAGACTTTATATTTAGGGGGGCTGGGAAAACTAGGATCATCTTCATTGGGTTCATTTACTGTTCCTCTGAGTCCCTAAAATGAGTGATTGACTTTCAACTTAGCAGATATGACTTTTTTGGTTGTAATGTACTAGGCAGGGTGCTAGATGGGATACATAGACACCTTTTTGCATGTGATTTTCAGAAATTTTCAATATTAACAGTGGTCTCTTATTTTTTTTCTCTGAAGTTTCAAAAGTTTAGGATATATACATTTTGTGGGCTGGGATGTGACTCAGTGGTAGAGTACTTACCTCACATGCATGAGGCCCTGAGTTCCATTCCTAGTACCACAAAAATATACATACCTGTAATTTATAGCAAATTATTTAAAAAGATAACTTATACAACCAGACTATTTTTCTTTTTTTTATTTTTATTTTTAGTTGTAGATGGACACAATAACTTTGTTTTATTTATTTATTTTTATGTGGAGCTAAGGATCAAACCCAGGGCCTCAACACATGCCAGGCAAGGCCTCTAACACTGAGCCACAACCCCAGCCCCAGACTACTTTTCTTCCTATACTATCATTCTTACCTTTTTGTTTTAATTTTTTCCTCTTATTTCTTTCTTTTTTTTTTTTTCATTCTTACTCTTTACTTGCTTATGTTACTCAGTTTTAATGTGTATGTCCTAAGACTTCCTGTAGTGGTCATGTGCTTAAATGCAGCTCTTCCTGAAAACAGGGAATTCTCTTCCTCACTAGTCATGTATGGAATAGCAATAGATCTTTTCCATTTCATTTCAAGGTCACTGGAGAGAAGTTATATGACTGGGGTTTACGAGGATACATAGTCATAGAAGATTTGTGGAAGGAGAACTTTCAGAAGGTAAGAAACATCATTTTTATTATCTTTCTTTTGGTTTAAATATGTGGTTTCTCTATGGTTTTGTAAAATATTTGATAACCCTGTTGTTTTACTTGCTTTTTCTGTTTGTTTTTAGTTGCATCTCCAGCTCGGACTTTTTAGTGGAGGAACAATACAATTTCGGAGCACTTAGTTATTATCAGCAGGACCAAATCAATGGTGACCATAAAATGCATTCCACTGCAGCCTTAGACCCTAATTTCCACTCTAATCTATTTATTGTTGCTCAAAGTGTAGCACCTTATCCTAAAGTCTTATCAAAACTGGATTCAGAGCTGCATTGTGATACATACCTTTAATTTCAGGAGGCTGAGGCAGAAGGATCTTGAGTTTGAGGCCTGCTTGGGTAATTTAATGAGACCCTGTCTTAAAATAAAATCTTAAAAAGCTAGGGATTTAGCCAAGTAATAGAATCTTGCCTAGCATGTGTGAGGCCCTAGTTTCAATCCATAGTACTGAAGACAAAAAAAGAAAGAAAAAATAATTTGAAAAAAAAATGGATTCAAAGAGAATATACCGTGCTCCCCCAAAAGACATAATTGAAATCCCCACCTTTTTTTTTTTACTTATCATAAACTCTGTTCTTTCCTTTGCCCATACTGTGTCTTTTCATCACCCAGATAAGGGTGTGAGCCATGGTGTGTTAGGGACTAGCCACCAGCTACAGGCCACATTCTTTGTGCCATCTGGTAGATGAACAGCAGAAGGAAGGGTTGTATAATCATAAGGATATGTTACCTCTCATCTCTCCTAGCAGTTATATAGCTAGAATGTGGCCTGTGTTTGCTAGTATGTTCTCCCTTTCTCCTGTTAAAGAAGAATGAGTACACAATAAGGTATCATGTTTCCTCTAAGCATTCAGAGGCACAGCTAGCCAGCTAAGGGAGAATTAGGGTTCTTTCTTTTCTTTTTTCTTTTTTTTTCTTCCCTTTTTTTTTTTTTTTTTTTTTTTGCAGTACTGGGAATGGAACCCAGGGCTTCATGCTGGCTAGGGAAGTGCTCTACCACTAAGCTACCTCACCATCTCTTTTTAAATATTTGTTTTGATAACAGAGTCTTGCTAAATTGCCCATGGCAGCCTCAAATTTACAGTTTTCCTGCCTCAGCCTCCCAAGTAACTGGGATTATAGGCCTGCACCACCACACCTAGCAGAATTAGGGTTCTTTTTTAAAAATAGTTTTTGGTTGTAGATGGACACAATACTTTTATTTTTATGTGATGCTCAGCATCGAACCCAGTGCTTGACATGTGCTAGGCAAGTGCTCTACTATTTAGCCACCTCCCCAGCCCAGAATTAAGGTTCTTTTATTAACATATCTTCTGCATCTTAGATTAAAGAAAATTCATTTAGATTCCAATGATTTGAAATGAAAATACTCTTAAAAATATATGGGACTAGGAGTGTAGTTCAGTAGTAGAGCACTTGCCTACCACGAGGCCCTGAGTTTGATCCCCAGCACTGAAGAAAGAAAACAAAAAAAGTATATATGTATATATAAGTGGCATGGGGATGTAGATCAGTGATAAAAGCACATGTTTAACATGTGCAAAGATTGAATCCCTAGCACAGCTGTCTCAAAATTCAGAATTTTGAGCTAGAACGTGCAAAGTAACATTACAGAGCAAATTATAGACTAAGCTCAGTGGCATACACCTATAATCCTAGCTACTTGAGAGGCTAAGGCAGGAGGATCACAGTTCAAGGCCAGCCTGGGCAATTTATTGAGACCTGTTCTCAAAATAAAATTTAAAAAAGGACTGGAGATATAACTCAGAGGCAAAACACTCCTGGGTTCACATACTCATACACATATACAAATAAAAGTAAATTATAGCATTCATTGTATACATAAATAATCTTCCAGTGAACTTTTTTTTTTTTTTGGTAGCAGGGATTGAACCCAGAGGCACTTAACCACAGAGCCAATATCCTCAGCCCTTTTTATTTTGAGACAGGGTTTCACTAAGTTGCCTAGGGCCTTGCTAAATTGCTGAAGCTGACCTCAAACTTGCCATCCTCCTGCTTCAGCCTCCAGAGTCACTGGGATTACAGGTGTACATCACCATACCCAGCCCAGTGAAGTCTTAAGATTAATTAAGATTAATTTTTACACTTGTAGTTTGTAAAAGAATGAGTCTCTCCCATCCCCCCCCCCTTTTTTTGAACTGTGGGTTGAACCCAGGTGTACTTAACCACTCAGCTACATCCCTATTCCCTTTTATTTTTATTTATGTTTGTTTTGGTATCAGATTGAACCCAGGGGCGCTCAGCTACTGAGCTACATCTCCAGACCTTTTATTTTGAAACTGGATTTTGCTGTTGCTTGGGGCCTCATTGAGTTGCTGAGGCTGGCTTTGAACTTGTGATCCTTCTGCCTCAGCCTCCTGAGTCACTGGACACACACTCAGCCAAATGAAATCCCAAGATTAATTTTTACATTGGTGGTTTCTAAAGGAATGAGGCCTTCTTGCGCCTTTTTTAAGCTAGCTCTCGAGTAGGAAGTTCTATATTAGTATCAAGTGTACTCTGGCAATCCCTTTTAAAAAATAAACACAGTTTTATTTTCATTTCTCTGACATTTTCTTTGGATACTTTCTTTCCTATTTAAAAAAAATTCATTAACAAGTCCACACCAGATTTTTATATGGGAAAGGAAATAAAATGTCAGGAAAACTATCCACAGCCCTAGAAAGAAATGTGGAAAGTGAGACTAAATCAGTCTCAATTCCTAGTGCTGGCTGTGGTGTGACCGCAGACTATGACACACCAAAGCCAGAGGGGATCCCCCAGGAGCCTCTAAGCCTCACTGTAGTGCCTGCAGCTGTGCACGCACATCAAGGCTAAAGTGAGGGCCTCTTGCAAGCAGCTTTCTCTGACTGCTGGGAGAATTCAGCCAGTGCTGGCAGGATTGTGGTTGGAACACAAATTAAACAGGCCAGCATTATGTGGTGATTAATGCTACTCAGATTTCTATGCGAGTCTGCTGGGAGTGGGGTGGTAAAGATTTCTAATTAGCTCAAGATTGGTGTGCATTTTTTTCTTTCCAGTCTTTTCTACCTTTGTCCTCTTCAGAGTCTATGAGAACTTAAAATGTTGTCCTATTTGTTTACCCTGAAGGCATAATTTTCCTGACAGCTGTTTGTTCTCGGTAGAAGGCAATAAAATTTATGTTGAATGGCTTGTTAAACATTTACAAGTTTGAAATGAAAAATATCAGAAAGCCCTAAGAATCGATATACGTAGGTTTCAGAAATTATTTGATAAGGAAGTACCTTTGGGGTTTGGTGACATATCCCCGCCCCCAGTGCCTTGTTGGGTTTCATAGATTTTATGGCTTTTTTATTTTGTTAATGAGAACAAAGATTCAAATTCCCCTGGCACAGGAATATTTGGAGGCCCTGGGCAGAGTACATTTTCTTCATAGAATATCAAGTAATTTAAAAGTGTATGTATGTGTGTGTGTATATATATACACACATACATAATCTATAATCTAGTAAAAGAGATAAAGTGTACAACCAAAATACAAGGCAAAACATGATAAAGTGCCAGAGGAAAGGCTCTTTGAAGGGAGTTAGGGGACACTTCATGAGGGGGGACTTTTGTTTGTTTCTTGGCTTGTTTGGAAGTTGGTTTTCAAGTCAAGTTTAATTATAGTCTCAATGAAGTATTTTCTAATTTATAATTGTTTATTACTCTAATGATATAACAGATATACATCCCTTGGGTTATATGCAAAGAAGCTTGTGGACATTATGTTTAAAACAGGGCCCTAAAATTTTAAATATTATGAATGATGTTTCAGTTCTTAATTGTATTATTTCCCATGTGATCATAGTACTCTCAAGTACCCAAAAACAAGTCTGGCATTATGCTGCTCAGCCACTTCCCTTCTAACTGATTCTAAATGTTTGACCTATGTCTTCTACCAGTAGTTTTGATGAGAATGTCTTTCAGTCTTTCGTTTCAGTCATTGGTCATTTAAGAGATTTCATTTGCTTCAGCTAAAATGGCTTCTGTTCAAACTGTGAAGCAAAAATAGGGGTGTCCAGAAATACTGTCATTGTATGGTCTAAGGTTTGTTTTTTTTATGTTTTCTATTAAAGAATATATAACATGTATATAGGTTAAAATTCAATAATGTAATGACCACACATATGAAAACCATCTATCTACCTTTGAAAATAGGAAATTGCCGATGCCTTCCCAGTCTTCCATGGGGCCCCTCTGTCTTCCCAGGGGCAACAACTATCTGGAATTTTGTAATTTCATTTCCTTGTTTCTCTTTAAACTTTTCTTTTTGTTTAACCACATATGTATATATTCTAAAACACCATGGTTTAGCTTGCTTGTCTTTTGCCTTTATAATATAAATGTACCAAATATGTGTTTGTGTATGCATATATATGTGTGTGTGTGTGTGTGTGTGTGTGTGTGTGTGTGTGTGTGTGGTTTATCTCAAAGGAGCCTTTCTGTATTTATTTGCCTTAACATTCCCTTAACATTATGTTTATGGACTATATATGGCACTAGTTTGTTCATTTCTCACTACTGTAACTTACATAGGGTACTGTACACACATAGGGTATTTCTGGGAAAATACCCCATGTTGATGGCTAGTTGGGTGACTTTCAACATAATGTTTTTACAACATACAGCTGTGAGCATTTCTGTACCTACTTTATGATCTGTGAGTTTTTATAGTCCAGTATTTCTGATTGCTGCTTCCTAGGATGTGCTCATCTTCAGTTTTTCTACATGATGCCAAATGGTTGTTTCCACTTTTTGCCAGTCTGGTGACTTTAAAATAGTTTTTCATTGTGGATGTGTGTGTGTGCACATATGGTATTACTTTATTCCCCATTTTTTATTTTGAAAAAGTTTCAAAACTAGGTCAGTTACAGGACTAGTACAATGAATATGCTGCTCATTTAGATTCACAAATTAGCATTTGTTACATTTGCATAGTGCTCTCATACACGTACTATGTATTCTTTTTTGGAACCATTTGAAAGTTAGTTGTAGATATCATTGTATTTTCCACCTATGTCTAATTCAGCATGTGCTTCCAAACAACATGAAGAGTTACTTATATAATCACAATACCATTATCATACTCAAGAAAGTTAACATTTTGTTGTTGATATATATATTATC